GGTAGGGACCAAATCCCTGATGACAACTATCTCTTTCCGCTCCCAGATTTCATGACCCCAGGGATGCCCAGACCAGCTAAAAGCATCTCTGAATGGGCACCACTACCTCAATGCTCTCCTCCCTTCCCACCAAGGAGTCTATAAATCCTTCTTGGGAGCAGGACAGGAGTGGACAGGCAGGAGAAAGCCACAGAGAGGCCGGCCCGTGGCTCACTCGGGAGAGTGTGGTGCTGACAACACCAAGGCCCCAGGTTCGGATCCTATATAGGGATGGCCGGTTTGCTCACTGGGTGAGCGTGGTGCTGACAACACCAAGCCAAGGGTTGAGATCCCCTTACCAGTCATCTTTAAAAAAAAAAAAAAAAAGCCACAGAGGACTGCTGTGAAAGACAAACGATGCTGGACTTGGAGCCAGTCAGCCCTGGGTTTGAGTCTCAACCCCTTCAGTCACTAGCAGTGTGACCCTGGGCAAGTTACTTAATGTCTCTGAACATCTGTGTCCTCTGCTATAAAACAGGAATAACGGTGCTGACTTTGAAGTCTGTAAGGAGTCAAAGAGACAGCTTACTACGTAGAGAGGCCTAGGTCTAGGACATGAAGAGAAGGGAAGGGGACAAGGGGAGGAGCGTCTGGGGGACGAGGAGTGAGGAAGAGGGAGGAAGAGAGGAGGGGCCGGCATGGTACTCCCCCCTTCAGGGTTCCCACAGCTTTGGGAGATAACTCCATGAAAACACTGCACAGAGAGATCGATGGATTTTTTTAAAACGCAAGTGTTTGAGAACAAAATGAAAGATATCACCATTTCTCCAATTCCTCGTAAGTGCGTCCACAGCAAGTCTTCTCTAGTTAATGTGACAAACATAGCCCCAGCCTGGAAGGGGAGATGATGAGCAGTGGGAGATGGATGCAGAAAGAGCTGCCTGAGGAGGTTTGTTGGGAAGGGGGCTATGCTGCCTGCCTCCCCGGCCACCCCTTGACAGGTGAGAATGGCCCAGAAGATGGGGTGGGGTGGGGAAATTTCAAGATGGTCTCAACCTTCCTCGCCAGCCCCCCTGCAATAGTGGTGATCTCTGTGGTCTAAATTCCTGGCCCCCATCACCCTGTGATGTTTCCCAGGCACCACCTATCAGCCATGTGTCGCGGGCACGTCCTTCCCTCCCGTTCCTGCAAATGTACAATGTGGGAAACACCTCCTGCCCCCTAGAAGGAGTGTGTGCAAGGGCAGAGACCATGGCAGTGAAGGGGTAACCCAGCTCACCGTGAGCACCCAGCAGACAGCAAACATCATTCTCATCAGCACTGGGATACCCATGCCCAGGAGGAGCTCTGGGTCTTCACTGTGACTTGGGCTCCAACTCACCATCCGCCTCCAGACAAACGCCACACCTCCCACCTGCTCCGTCCCCCTCACAGATCTGCTGCAGGGCTAGGGAAACCAGCTTTCATTCTAGAACACTGTTTTCGGTTCACAAGACTCCTTCACATCCCTTAGCACATCTCATGATTCCCATTTCACAGGTGAGGAAACTGAAGCTCAGGGGCCTACGGTCTTTAGAATTCAGGTCTACCTCAATTCAAACCAGACAGCTCTATTCCACTTGGTCCACAGAGGCTCTGGAAAGCCCCAAACTTCCTCGGACCCAGGAGGTATCAGCAGGAGTAGTGGCTCTTGTGCTAGCAGGCAGGACCCATGCTGCAGCCCCAGCTGCCGTGGGTCAGCCTCTGCGTCCAGCCCAGGCTGGCTGTCTGCAAACAGCTCTCTCCACAACCAGAGGGTATGGAGTGGATCCTTTACCATCCTCTCCCCACCTCACATCTCTGACATCCACATCCCACCAGCCCCTCACCAGGGGGTGCCCTACCTTGTGGGTAAGGCTGGGGTCTCTTGGAGCACTGTCCTCCTCCTCCGAGCTTCCCTGCTCTTCATCCGATGTGAGGTCCTCTTTGGGGGCCACCACCGAGATGGGACAGACTTTGTAGGGCTCCGTGTAGGCACTGGATCAGAACAGGGGAGAGAAGGGTTAGCATTTCTTGTCCTGCAAAGGCAAAGCGGACTGGCTGGGGGTCCTGTCAATGCTGAGAGCTGTTGATGAGTACCCCTGTTAACAAATGCAAGGCACTGTGCCCTCCATGGGGACCAGAAATGAGTAAGACCCAGGTGCAAACCTCCCGACCCTACCCCCAGCCATACGGGCCTCCTTTTAGTGCCCTGAACACGCCAGGCCCTTTGCTGCCCAGCACCTTCACACACTGTCTAAGACAGACTCGCTTCCCTGTTAGACATGAGGAGGCTGTGATGCTGAAGGATGGTCCAAGTAATTGACTACCAGGGCAAGAGACGCTCAGTGTGATTGTTCCAGGGTCTGGACTGGCCTGGTCAGGCAGCAGGGTCGGTCCTCAGGTAGCCGTGTCCTCTGGCCCTGAATGAGGGATGCAGCGATGTGCTGGACATAATCCAGACTGCACATCCCAGCCCCGAGTCCCTGCCTCACTGCCAGCCAGATCACAGACCAGACACAACCCTCGCAGCAGATTCCCCTCAGCTGCATGGGGAGAGGGATTCCTGTTCACCTTCTCGGCAAGTGCTGTGAGGATCACGGCTTACACGGGCGTGATAATCTATATAACTGTGACTATTATGCAGGCATTGCCATTAACTAATTACATAATTAATCCATGCATTCAATACATTTTCATTGATCGCCTGCTGTACGCCAGGCACAGGGTGAGGCAGCAGGTAAAATACTGATGAATAATGCAGATATGGCCCCTGTCTTCAAAAGTAAACTCACGTACAAGCACAGATTGTGACTCCACAGTGGAGACTCTGGCCCCATCACAGCGGCCTCCTGCCCTGCTCTCTGCCTCCCTCTCCACATGGCAGAGTGATTGTTCTACAATAGAGATCGGGCCCCTCTCCTGCTCAAAAACCTCCGATGGCTCCCTCCTGCCATTGGCAATGTGGCCCCAGACAACTTCTCACAAAACTCCTATTCATACTAAAAAATCCAGGCACCTGATCTGTCTTATTAAGTGCTTATTAAACACTTATTCTCGCTCTCTGGGAATGCCAGGATGACACACTGGAATGATGGATGGATGGGAGGAGAGAAGGGGCGTCCACTTTTGGACTGGCCAAGTCAACTGTAGCCCCACCCTAATGCAGGCAAGGGGGCACTGTCCCTGTCTCAGGCCCCAGTCCAGGCAGTGGGAGCATGGCTGGGCGGGGCGGGGGGTGACACCAGGGGAGGAGAAACAGAGTCTTAGGCTCCAGCTGAACTAGAGGCCTATCCTGGAGCTCTTTCTCAACTATCACAGGAGCCAGAATGGTAGATCCCTAGCTCCAGAACACATGGAGCCCAAGCGACAAGGGGTTATGCTAACAGCAGAATGGGTGTCCCCTGGTCCACAAGAGACCAAAAGGCCAGACAGATCAGGGACAGGGTGGCCTACCATGACAGGGCCACCTGCCCGGGCTTCCACTGACATATGGGGTGGGGGTGGGGGTGGGGACTATGGCTGTGCACTTGGGTACAGAGGCAAAGACTGGTTCTGACCCAGACTATTATCCCACAGACTACCTTTCTGGTCAGACCTCTTCTTCCTTTTCACATTGTTGGCCTTTTCTTTCAAACTATGAGAGCAAACAACCTATTTTGCAACAAGCCATATGCCTACCACCCAGGTGTACAAAGGAAGAACCCTCACCAGGCTTGCTGAGGTGGCCCCCCCAGGGCCAATGAGCACCTCCCTTGCTGCATGTCACCACACCTTCAGCGGCCACCATGAGATCACCTACTGAGGAGCAGTACCCCAGCCTAAAGGTCAGGAACACCTCCATTGCTCAGTAGAGCTCAGAGCACATTCAGGAAAGTGACCGCAGAGAACAGTCTCACTGAGCCTCAGCTCTTCCCTCCAGAGCCACCTGCTGAAAGCTGCAATAGTCTGTACACAGGAGGCCCCAGCAGGAGCCCAGTGTGCTCTGTCCAGGACAGCCAGTAACGGTGAAGGATGGAGCGGTTAACCATGCCCTGAACACTCCTCCTCCTCCTCAAGGAAAAGGTGTGTGCCAGGCCTTTCCTAGAACGTGTCGCGTATTGCAGAGGAGGAAAGCCTTCCCAGCCAAGCATCCCTGGCGGCAAGCCAGAAGCCCGAGCATCTCCTTGCACAACTGCCACTTGAGCATTAGACACCTCCCAAATTTACCTTTAAATATGTCCCAATTCTGCTCACCTCTCTGTCACAGCCTCTGTGGTCCAGGCCTGACGTCTATAACAGCTACCTTCCTCTTCTCTCTAGTTCCACCCTGACTGCCCTCCAACCTGTTCTCCAACCAGCAGCCAGTGTGACCTTCTCAAAAGCCAACCTGATCATGTCACCACCTTGCTTAATAATTCTTCAGGGACATTCCAGTGCTGCTGGGATTTGGCCCCAACAGCTCAGTCTGTCCAGCAAGGGTCTGTACAACCTAGGGAGGGAGAAGGGGACATCCCTGGCTCCTGCGGCTGCTGCGGTGAAGTCTTCCCAGCATCATATGCCACTGGGCAGCTCAGAATTTGGGGGCTC